TCTAAAGCTCTCAAGAACAACTTAGAATCAGACAAGTTCATTATCCACATGATAAATCAACAAACATTCACATAAGGGTGCAGTAAAAAACATTCAAACAGGATGGCAGTATTTTGAGGATAACCCGAGCTACAGTCATGATAAAAATATGAATCTGGTACTCATAGAAAGGTAAGAAATAGAGATACAATTTTTGTGAAGACAACTTTAGAAAATTCTGACATCGCCACAAAGATAAATCAACAAACATAGCTGCAGTCCGGAAAGGAAAAGAACAACTTACAGCACTTCAGTAATTCCAAGATAACAGGAGCTACAAACATGATATTACTGAAATTCAACAACCCTAAGTTAGCTAACTCAATTTCCTACAACTTTTTTGAGGACTCCATTGGCAAAATATGACATTATCAATGAGGTTAAGTAATAAACATTCAGTTCACAAAACAGTCCGGAGAACTACTTTTCGAATGGGTAGCACTTTAGTAAAATGGCAACAACTCAAGCTACACAACTCCAATTTATACCAATTTGAAACCTACAGAATCTACACATGGAATTATATTTATAAACACGAAAAATGTTATTCAAATTAATTTCTCGAATCAAAATAAATATAGCATATTACAATCTCTATTATTCGGAGGGCCAACGCCTTGATTTCTGATCAAACGTCGAAATATCCCAAGAACACGAATCCTTGGTCTTCGTCGCAAAGTAGACCTTGGATCTTCTCCACGCCGGTTTTGAGTTTACTCACGTTATTCAGAGGCTTTGCAGCTTGTTTCCGGATTTAACGCCAGTCTTGAGGTTGAACGCGCTTGAATCTTACTTCGAATCTTCAAAAACGCCTTTGAATCTTCAAGGACACTTGAATCTCGTCGAGAGAATTCTCTAGAGCTCTTGAACTTGAATATGAATTATGAAGTGTTTTTTTGTTACATTAGGGAGAGCCCCTATTTATAGGTGTAGGAGGGAGAACCTTACCAAATTTAAGAATTGTAGGACGCGATTTGATTGGTTCATGATGATTCACATAAGATCTTTTAGATCTACCTAGATCTCCCCAAGACCTTCTAGAAGACATGTGATTTATTACCAAGAAATATGATTTGACACTTGGCAATATTTGATTGGTCAAGAATTAAAATAATAAAATATCAATTAAATAATTATTTAAATTTAGGAATTAAATTTATGAAAATTCCTAAAATATAAATAGAAAATATGACTTGATTTTTAATAAATTAATTTCCACGTGCCGCCATTTGATTGACCACAATTTTTATGTATCTTCAAGAACATTTGGTACGCTTTAATGTTTAACTCTTGGACATTTTGCGTGGCCTCAAGCTTTTCAATTAGATGTTTACTTGAGTTCCAAACTTAGCTCCTGGACGTTTGTTTTCACAGTGGAGCTTCCATGTTTGACGTTTGCCTGGCTTCCAAGCTTAGCTTCTGGACGTTTGCTTTCATATGCAAGCTTTGATAAAGGACGTTTTGTATGTTTTAAAGCTTAACTCTTGGACGTTTCACATGGCCTCAAGCTTTCCAGTTAGACGTTTAGCAGCAGAATAAGCTTGCAATTTAAAAGTTTTAAATGTGTTGCCCCTTCTCATTTAGACGTTTCTCTTCAGAGTCGGGCTTCGCATTTGGACGTTTCTTTTGCTTCCAAGCTTTTCTCTTGGACGTTTTTTTTCACAGTCGGGCTTCTTTGCTGGATGACATTCGTCATATTTACGTGCATTTTATAGTGATTTTCGTGTCCGTTTCGTCATAGTTTGGTATATAATTAGTTATTATTTAATTAATTATTATATAGTTATTATTTATTTAATTAATTTTATTAAACTATGATGAGGTGTTGTATTTTGAGTTCTGACAGGAAATAGGTTCGAATTAATTTTTGGAGTCGAAAACGCTTAAAACGGACGAATTACGAATAGGAGTCAAGTATTGGAATATGCCCAATTGCACAGCCCATTGAAGGTCCACTACATAGTAGCACAATAAGAATAAGTGGCCCAATTGAAATTAGTTTGTAATTGGGTTAGCCCAAAAGCAACTAAGTGAGGGTATAAGAGTCATTTCAGCATTGTGTCTTCTTCTTCACCACACCACGCCATCATGCATTCACGCCACCACCATCCGCCATAACTGCTGAAACTCGCCACCAAGCCGGACCACCTCGACCATCGCAGGACCGCCGGAGCTTCGACCAAAGAATAGAGCGTCGTTGAGGAGAGAAAACCGAGAGGGGCTGCTTCTCCCCGTCACCTCCGCGCTGATGGACGCCATGGCCGGAATTTGACCGGAGCTCGCCATGTCCGGTGACCTGGACGTATTTCATCACCAAGAGTCGACTGGAACGCCGGAAAACCGACCAAGAGAATATATACAAGCTAAAACTGAATAGTTCGAGCTATTTTTGGTGCCCAGGTACACACGGGTCGTGTGAGCCCAAGACACGGCTCGTGTCACTCCGACGGGTCGTTAATCATCCTCTCAACTTTGTCACACGACTCGTGTGACCCTGGGCGCGACTTGTACAGATTTTACGCGTTTTTTCTATTTTTTGGGATTTTTCGACTTATTTGGACTAGGACTCGACCTCAACTTTATATACAACCCTTGGACACGTTTTTGGAGGAGTCTTGGACATATTTTTGGAGATCTTTGGAGGCTGGAAACACGAGCAAGACGAGGGAGAAACCCGAGAAGAGAAGATCGACAGAGCCGAATAAGCTTTTTCTTTCTTTTTCTTTTCTTCTTTCGAACTCAATGTTTTATATCTATTTTTCTTATTTTGAAATCATGTCTCTAGGCTATATTTATATTAGATTCTAGGATTTGTTAGTACTCGGATTGATTTATGATTTAGTTTTTATTTATTTCATTCCGGTTTATCTTTCGTTTATAAATTTCTTGTGCTTATTATTATTGTGTGAGTAGGCGGCCGCTATGAATTCATATTTGTAATTGATTTGAGACCGAGAGGAGATAATTGATTGCTAGAATTGAGAAATTTATAACATAAGAGAATAAATAGACCGAGAGGTTGATAGGACCTTGCGAGAGAATAAAAATTCTAGGAACTTATGGGAGTTAGTTGTTCATCTTGAGACCGACAGAAGATAGATAACAATTAATATCTACGATTTAACTTGTTCGAGAGAAAGCTTGGAAATCAATTTAGCGATTATCTCTACGATTGATAAACTTAAATAAGGTTTGTTTGAATATAAAAGTTTCATGAATAAATTCCGAGGAACGCGTAGCCTAGAATCTATCTTTTATATCGTGATTTATTTTTATTACTTTAGGTAATTTAGCTCTTAGTTTAATCTCTTAGTTTATAATCATCATCCCAGTTTGTTAGTCTAAATAATATTTAATCGTCATTATTTTAGTACTTAATTAATTTAACTTTAATCTCTTTGGAATACGACCTTGCTCGCCACTACCTATAGCTACACCGTACACTTGCGGTTAGCGAAAATAATTAGCGAACACTGGACGTTTCTTTGGCTGCCAAGCTTAGCTTCTAGACGTTTCTTTGACTCTCGAGCTTTGTTGTTAGACGTTTGAATATATTTTTTTCCATTAACATTTTTTACCACAAGGATATTTTTGTAAATTTACAATTTTTTAATATTTTTTTCGGGCGACAAGTAGTAATTTGGGGCGACAAATAACAACACCCTTCATAAATAGTTCAATTTAGTTACATATAATTATATTATTATTTTTGTTTGTATTTATAATAAATATGTGAAACATTTAGATTATATAAAAATAAAATTGATGTTATAGTTTTAAAATATTAATTAAAAATAAGAGTATATATTAATTATAAAAATAAGTGGGAAACATGTAGGACCCATAAAAAAGAAGTTTATAAAAGTTTGTTATTGTTGGAGGTTTATATGTGTAGGAGTAAGAATGAAATTTTGAATGATGTGGCATATTGGAAAAAGATAAAGGAGATTTGTGAAGGAGGGTTATTAGAGATGCTCTTACCACAAAGATTATTCTATGTTCACGGATTTACGCACATCTTACTCCTCAAGTATAGAGGGAACATTATAAAATAAAAAATAAAAAGAAAGAAAGAAAAAAAGTATAGAGGGAACATTTATATTAATTATATATCTAAGTGTGGGGAGCGAAATTTTACTTAAAAATAATTTTTGTAAACACAAAATATAGAGAAAACACGGATAAATAAATTTCTTTTGTGGGAGCGTCCCACCACCTTCATAACCCTTTCATTAGTGAATAGTTGCGTCCCACAGCGTATAGTTTGGATTTACACGTGAAAAGCTACTTCTTAATTAACTTAAAAACACTATACTCAACTTCACTAACTACTTTTTTTGCCAAACTCGTGGACTTAGAAGCCTCTCTTGGATCCTTCTAGGCTAGACAACACTTATTCTAGGTGTTCAACAATTAATTACAAAAGGAAATTAGTCTCCAAGCTTACAACAAAGTAGAAACGCACGTTTTGTAAGCTTGGATTCAAAATCTATGCAAAAGAAAACTCACGAACTCTCATAATAAACAATATATTTCAATGATCTCTATACTCCCAACATATTCTACTCTTCGAGAATATAATAAAAAGTATTTTTCTCACCAGGTTGTTGTTTGTGACCACATAATGAAATATTCTTTAGTTGCAAAGATTTTCTAGATACTCCAGATCTTCAAAATCTTCCCAAGGAATGTGTTTATCAGTATGATCTTCATATACACGGACTTTCTAAAATTGATGAAATAATGCATTTTTTCCTTATATGCGAGATTCTTCAAATTTGACTGAGTCTTCAGCATTTCTTCTTCAGTAGATATCCTTCCAATCTTCTGTTGGGTTATTCTAGGAACGTCGTCGATACCACATCCAAATCTAATAAATTAGATCATAACGCAGCAGAATTCATAGTTAGGATCAGGACTTATGGTTTAAAATTTTGTCAACTCTAAGACGTTTTTGATTTTCATTGATGGAGATCATCTGAATCTTGACGAGTCGCATGTGTCGGGATCGCCGGGTCGCGTGAGTGCTGTCCTTTGTGTGTGTCGCGGTCAGGCGCTGCTTGTGGTGTGCGCGTGTGCGTCGCGGTTGGGCGTATGTTATCTGTGAACGTGTCGCGGTCGAGGCGTCGGGTGTGTGACATCGTACGGGTCTCTAGTGGTGCTCCGATGGCTGCGACTTCGTGCAATGGCGGAGGCGATGGACTTGGTGATGGCCGGTTATCGCCTCTCCAAGAGTGGTGATGATCGAACAATCTCTAGGGTTGAATATATTCGTTGGGATGTGAAAAACGAGACCTTATGTTCTTCTGTCATATGACATCTACGCCTAGTTCGAGTAGTCTTAGTGGTGCAACTAAACAGTTTTGGGATCAACAAGGATCGCAGCTAATGTGAAAGTTACAAATTTATCTATGAAATAACCTATGTTAAGGTAGAAGACTTACGGTTTAATATTTTTTCGACTCTGAGACCTTATAGAATTCTGTTTTTGGAAATCGTGTGAACCACAAAGTCCGTTGAGCAGTCGGACTTGGCCTCGTCGAAACTTCCCGGGTTGCTTGCGTGCGGTTGAGAGCAGGCGGGTTGCGATTGGCGTCGAGAAAAACGTCTCGGGTCGTCTGGGCGTCTAGCTGGTCGCGGGAACCTCGCGGGTGCACGACGTCGCTGGAACGGGTCACTGGCCTGGGCGCGGGATTGTCGCAGGTCGCAGCGGGTTGCGTCGCTAAGAGCCGGGAGGTCGCGTCATTTGGGTGTTGCGAGAGAGCGGGTCGTGTCAGGACGTCTTCGGTGAACTTGGGTCGTCTCGTGGCGGTGGTGTTGGGCGGCCGACGGTGGTCTGGGGCTCGGGTGCTAGACTATCTCATATTTGAATATGTGATAAACTGGGCTTGCGCCCCGACCACAATTCGATAGGCGTAGTGACCACTGACTTCGATAGAACAAGGTTCAGAATGTACGTGGCTGTTTCGAGAGCCATTCTAACCGTTTTCCTTAGTGAGGGCTTATTAGTCGGAATAAATCATTTCTAGCACACTCGCGCGCCTACGCCTCTTGGTCGTGAACGGCTGCTTAGCCATCTTACCTTCTAAGCAAGACTCACATGTAGGGTAGGATTGTTCTAATGGATCTAAAGACCCATTAGATACCAGCCTTCGAATCATACTAAGGTTCATATGTCCAAGTCTAAGGTACCAGAGATATGTTTGATTCATTTCTGAATGTTCCTTCCTCTTAATTGATTTAGTCAATGTGTTATTTAGTTCCTTTTGTTGGAGTGTGGGAGTGTTTTGTTTAAGAACATATAAATTTCCTACTAATAAGCCCTCACTAATGAAACGGTTTGCATAACGAATAACAACATTGTCACTAAACGTAAATGAAAAACCATCCATAATGAATTTAGAAACCGAAATAAGATTCTTTCAAAATGAAAGAACAAATAAACAATGTCTCAAAACCAAACTACTAGTAGAAAATTCTACTGTAACGTCTCCCACTGCAATTGCTGCCACTTTCGTAGCATCACCTATGTAGATGGTAATCTCTCCTCCCTTGAGCCGTTTGGTTTTCTAGAAACCCTGCAAAGAATTGCAGACATGACAGTGGCTCTATTATCTACGCACCCGATACTGGCAGACACAACTGCTAAACATGTTTCTATGACAAAAAGAATAGGAATTACCTTTCTTTCCCTTCTTGGGGCAGTTGGTCTTCCAGTGCTCTGACTTCCCGCAACGGTGGCACTTACCCTTCGGCTTCATCACTCCAAATGGTCCAGTTGCCGAAGCGACAGCGGGCATAGGCGTTTTTCTAGCCTTTTTAGCGGACCGCTTCTTCTTCTTGAATCTTTTAGGCCCAGATGTCGAAGGACCAGCCTGCTCCGCCACAAGCGCATGCGAATTATGTTGAAAAGTCCCTCCTCCGCTTGGAGTTCTTCGAGAAGTTCCGCCAATGTTAGCAACATTTTAGTCATGTTGTAGTTAGGCGAAATGGATCAAAAGTCTTAGACATTGAATTGAGGATAATATCAACCTGAGTTTACCTGACGATTTGTCCTCTTAGGACCTCTGCTTAGCTGGGATGACATTCAAACAACAACAATAAGCTTTAAAGAGTGGTGGTGGAGTGTATGTTCTCTGGATCACAAGATATTTCTGAAGCTAGAATTCAACTGACTACTTATATACCCTGATAAATTTAGAAAGAAAAGAACTCTGTGCATTTCAAAATGTGTGGAAGCTGAACAAAGCCATTGTCAACAAAGCTATGAAGGATTGGTTGGAATTCAGTAATTTGCACAAGAGGAATGTTGTTGGGTCTTGAGGGTGTTGGAATCTGTGACGATCTCGTTATTTACAAGTCACGAATTTAATAGCGAACGTAAACCTACGCGCAGCAGATCTAAAGGTTTGACGTAGAGAACTTACAGCTTAAAATTTATGGCGATCTGGCTGATCTTCCGGATGGCCGTACACAGCACACCAATGAATCAGATCACACGAACAGAACTTCTCGGGCTCACATGCAATCGGGTCGTGTGGTGTCGGGCTCGTTTGGGTCGTGTAGATCGGATCTGCCGGGTCGCAGGCTTCGCCGGTTCGTCCATCGCGGGTCGCGTGGATCTCGCCGGTTTGGTTGAGGTTGCCGGCGGCTCGCAATTTGCGGCGGTTGGTCGTGATCGGCTCCGACTGATTCACGGTTGGCGGGTCTCGGGCTCAGGCTCGTGATTCGTCAACTGTTGTAGAAGATTAATTGGTCTCGATAACCTATGGATCTTCTACTGTATTACTCAATACACCTTTTTCAACTTGTACCAGTGGAGGAATAAAAAGAAGATAAAGCTCGAATGGTATATAGAGAGAGAGAGGGCGGCGCGCACGAGTCGTTTGTATGGGATTATCTATCTCTTCTCATGAGCTTAATGATGTATATATAGAGCTATAGTAGGGACCCTTAGGAGATTAGGAATAAGACTTCTTAATTAATTAGACTAACTGTGGACCAAGCCACTCCTCTAATTAATTAAATAATATTAATGAGACACCAACATTATATTATTGCACTCCCTTTTCCTAGCACAAATTACATTTGAGACTCCAATAATAATTACTCGATTTACCTCCCCACGTTTAAGATATAATGTCCATTAATTAATTCGATTACTCACAATCGAGAATTAATTAATTTATTATTATTTCACCGAAGTTAGCGCTCGTTCATCACATTCTTATTATGCCGGAATTTAATCCACCTGCAGGGTTTAGCATAACAATCCTTCATAAACTCACTCCGGGGACATCATCAAACTAACGCACATGGTGACCGTAAATATTCTAACAACACATCTTATGTATAATAATATTATCCAAAACAATAAGAATATTGATCTAGTGAACTGAACATCACCCAAGTGAATCAAAGCAATATATACTATATATATCTGCCTGTTTAATATCTTACGGGTTAAGAGAATGTAGTAATTAACCGAGGCCTAGTTCATTTACAACGATCAGTATAAAATGAACTTCTCCTCTCTGGGATCTTGTTCAATACATAAATGTACTAGTGCAACTACTCAATCAAGACAAACTGTACAGTTGACACTACAACCATTCGGATGGGGTGTTCATGTTCATCTAGGTTGTGAACAACTATTCTTGTTCGCAAGTAACTAATAGAGTGATCTTCGGTTCGCCCGATGACGAGTGCAGAACAACAGAACTTAGAACTTGTTTAATCTAACACGATTCTCATTCATAAAGGACAAATGTGTAATAACATGCAAAGTCAAGCTTTCAGTATATAACACTGACAGAAGGAAGTTAGATGACTAGCTTATTAGGTTAAGTGGTTTATTATCTTTCCTTTTTTTTTTGTTTGGTGTTGTCAGTTTATCTTTTGTTATTCTTCTACGTCGTATTCCGAAGGCCTCAATGTGCTATATTTGCCTTTATATTATATCTAGAAGGGATTATTAGTTTTATGTTCGAGGTCACTAGTCGAGTGGTTCTATGTTGTTGCTTTTGGTTTGTATGGGCTAGTTGGCCATCGGATGTAAACTTTCATTCCTATATATATATTTTTTTTGGTTGTAGCACTCTTCACTTGGACCTGTAGGTCACGAGTTCGAGTCATCCAGAGATTAAATGAGGAATCACTAAGCCAAATACGATGTGGGTTCAGGTGATGTGCGCTAAATATAACTTGCGCCCGAAAGAGATGGCTGGTGAGTTCTTGTTTCCTAAAGGGTCGGTGTGTTTAAACGCCTTAGCTAAAGTTTGGCCACATGTAAGAAGGGGTGCTCGTTGGGCCTTGGGGAGTTGAAGTCACGCACGGTTCTGGCTAGATATGTGGCTCACCGGGCGAGAGCCTTTGATAAACGTGGCAACCGGGCGCATACCGGCGGAGCAGATTCACGCTCCTGTGGCGGAGTTCGTCACGACGGCGGGTGAATGGTGGTGGGCGAAGTTCGAGGATCTTTTGCCGGCCACAACCTTGCTGCTAGTCGCGGCTGTCCTGCCACCAAAACCCTCGACAAGAGTTGACCGTTTGGTCTGGGGATACACGTCGAACAGCAATTTCCCAACGAAGACGGCTTACGAAGCTTTGACGCGGGTGATCACCGAAAACACCCGCCCGCTGTGGAGAGCAATATGGAGGGCGCCAGCGGCCCAACGTGTACGGCAGTTTTTGTGGTTGGCGTGTCGAGACCGCCTATTCACCAATATGGAACGGGTTCATCGGCACATGGCTGGGGATGTAGCTTGTTATTTCTTTGGTCAGCCGGAGTCGACTTCCCACGTGCTACGAGATTGTGCTAACGCGAGCAGTATTTGGACGGTGGTGATTCCGACTGCTATCCGATGGGAATTTTTTGCTCAGGAGCTTAGGGAGTGGATAGGGTCGAATTTGATGGGTTATGGACAGGAGGTGCCGGCGGAATGGGCGACCATGTTTTCCATAACGTGTTGGCGCATTTGGCATTGGAGGAATAGGGCCATTTTCTCGAATGAGTTTTTGTCTCTTGGGGCAAAGGTTTAAGATATTAGGCAGCGTGCGGACCGTTATGTGCGCACAACGTCTTATGAGGCCGCGTTGGGTATCCGGGATCGCTATTATGAGGAGATTTTGATTCACTGGTCACCTCTCCCGGTGGGCTGGATTAAAGTTAATACGGATGGCGCTCTTTGTACAGCTTCTGGGAGGGGTAGTGCAGGAGGACTAGCACGGGACTCGAATGGTCGCTGGCTTGGCGGTTTCCTTATGAATGTGGGTTTTTGTTCTATCACTTGGGCGGAATTGTGGGGTCTTTTTCAAGGACTCCGACTAGATTGGGAGTTGGGAACACGATAAGTGTTGGTGGAAGTGGATAATAGCAGTGTCATAGCCATGGTCACGGGGACTGATGAGAATCTTGGTCTCTATGGAACTCTTATTCAGGCCATTCGTGAGTTATTAAGCCAGGAGTGGTGTGTTCGTTTGTCCCATATCTATCGGGAAGGGAATTTCTCGGCCGATAAGTTAGCTTTGCTAGCTACTGATGTTCCGGTTGGTTATCATCGACTTCTGACCCCGCCGCAGGACCTTGGCCATTAGCTGAATCATGATGTTTTAGGTGTGGCTCACCCACGCCGTGGGCTCTAGTATCCGTTAGGCTTAGGCCTCTTATCTTATTCACCAGCCACGACTACACTATACCCACATATATACCTTCATACCTGTCCATCAATCTTCTCCCTTTCCCCCATATATCAATCACTGCCGACTCCCTTCCATGGCAGACCAGTACCACCAACCACAACCCAGCCCAGAACCCACGCACCACAACCACCACCAACCCGACCCGCCACCCCAAATGACCCACGACGACGACCGAGAAAAACCCCCCAAGAAGGTAAGCGGCTACGGGTTCCCCCCCTACGTCCGCCGCCGCGAAACCCTCTCCAAGGCCGCCGCCATCATCCTCCTCCTAGCCGCCACCACCGTCCTCATCCTCTGGCTGGTCTACCGCCCCCACCAACCCAAGTTCCACGTCATCTCCGCCGCCCTCCAGCAGCTCAACGCCACCTACTCCCCCACCCCGTCAGTCTCCGCCGCCGTGCAGCTGACGGTGGTCGCCCGCAACCCCAACCGCCACGTGGTCCTCCTCTACGACAACCTCTCGGCGCTCGTGTCATACCTGGGCCAGCCCATCACCCCGCCGGCGCCCCTCCCGCCGCTCCGCCACGGGACGAAGAGCACGGTGGCGCTCTCGCCGGTGCTGGGCGGCGGAGGGGCGGTGCCGGCGCCGCCGGAGCTGGTCGGGCAGCTCCTGGCGGCGCCGGACGGCGGGGTAGCGGGAATGAGGCTGGTGATTGATGGGAGGATTAGGTATAGGGCGGACGGGCCCACGTTTAAGAGGGGGTGGCGCGGGGTGCGCGTGAGGTGCGATCTGGTGGTGGGGCGGCTCACGGTGGGGTTCGTCGGGCAGCTGCCTCTGCTTAAGTCTCCGCCGTGTGATGTCGACGCGTGAGTTTCGGAGGGGAGTTGATTAAGTGAAGATTATATGTATTCTGTTTGAACTACTCAATTTTCTTGTGATTATATGTGTCTCTACTTGTTTACCAGTCTATGTAATAACTTTGAAAATTAATGGAGATATATAGGGGATTTAATTTTTTGTATGTCATGCATTTTTTTTATGATGTGTGTTAGTTTTAATGATTAATGTGATCCAGAGAGAGTGATTTGTGATTGCGGGGTTTGAGCATATAGGCGATAGCTAGTCGTGTGTGTGGTGACTTGTTGAAGAAATTGCAAAGGAAAAAGAGATAACTTGGAAGGTGGTAAGGGCATTGATTCTTAATTTGTGTGTTTGTATGTATGTGGAGGAGTATTGTTGTTGACGATTGGCGATGTCTTTGTAGCCCTAGTATTATATTCTCTGGTAGTACTGTCGGCCATCGAATCTATATGCTCCGTAGCTATTAGTTTGTACTTTATAGTGGTATTTCAATACACGGATTTTTTTCTCCTAATTATTGAGATGTTTTTATATAATAGTACAGAGCCCGTGCGATGCACGGGTGCACAATTTTAAGGCTATTTATCCAGACTTATAATTATATACATGAATACAGAAAAATGTACGAGATATATATAGTACGTGACCAGTGCGAGGTACGGGATATATTTATTTGAGGAATACTATATTATAAGATGCAATATTCAATTAAAGTTTTATAATACGCAGGAAAATTATACAATAAGATAGTATTCGACAAACAGACAATCATATATTATTAAAGACCACCTTGTACACAACATTATGAGTTTGATTTTCCATACAATAATAATAAGATTTTTTGTAAAAAGATAAGAAGGAATTTTCAATCTACACAAAGTTTAAACATTAGATGTATTTACGTAAATCAATGACTATATAGACAACTAAACCCTTCAATTTAGGCTTGACATCTACTTTATTTATGGGTGACGTAAAATAAGGATTTAATTTTGACCGATTAAATCTTTATTCATAGGCTTGACATATAAAACTGATTTGATGGGATTTTCTTAACTAAACCGATGCTATGGGATAAAACAAATCTATACTTACCTTTGACTTTTCCAGCAAAGGTAAAAAAATCGGTTCTGATTTTTATCCCATAACAGATCTTTAATGTCAAGCCTATAAATACCAAAACAAATCTGTAATTAATATCATTCTATTTCCACCAAGCATTAATTACCTTTGACTTTTCTGCCTACTATTTCTAGAATAGGATGACTTTTTATATAAGTACAGATTTCATATAATGCAAAGACTGAGATCATAAAAAAGAATCCTAAAAACTGAAACAATATATTTGCATAATTTAAGGCCATTAAGAAATCGAACTCTAAACCAGATTTGATTTTCAGAATATGTTTTTTCATTTCGAATTCCATACAAAATGGAATTCTTTCCAACCAATAGATGTCATATCAAATATTAACTCTTAACTATTAGACTATTAGTACATACCGAGCAAATTATGTACTGATTTTAGAAAGTTAAAATGATTCATGTTAGGTAATTTTACATTTTATGCATGTTGAACTGTGGGTTTTAAATATTGTTTCATAGAATGTAAAAGTGTATTATATTATTTTTGAGATGTTGAATTTGAAAATTAATAGAATTCTTCTTCATAGGAATTTTAAATGTAACAATATTCTTTGGTATACACTACTAATAAAATCTATATTTAAAGTTTATACTTTTTTTTTTTTACCTGAAAAAATTCCTTAATTTAAGGAATCATATATCTTCAATCAGTCCACATCTATATACATTCTTCACAATTTTAAATCTTGAATTTGATGAGAATTCGTATCTATGAGTGCAAAATATAGTTTAACAAATTAATTTTTTATTATTATTCCAGCCATATTTCTTTATACGATTTCTTGTGAAAATACAAAAGTAAATTCTTAATTTTAAATCAGCCGTACATTAAAAAGTACAAATTTCTTGAAATTACAAAAATAGTTTTTTACTTTTAAACAGACGTAAATTTAAATCAGTTATACAAAAGTAATATTTGTTTACCATTTAAATATTAAATCAGCCGTAATTAATGTTGTTTGTTTTAGTTGCCACGATTTTCTCCAAATCTATAGTAATATAAAGAGGTTGTTGGAATAATACAAAAATAGTAACTTTGACTTTAAAATTAATGTGTTGACTTACTATTAGTAGAAATTTTGAAAAAAGCACATGTGAATCTTTAGAAATCAAATTTAAGGGAGATATCCCAAAAAATGTGGAGATTCTTAAGGTAACAAATTTGGAGATTATTAAGGTAACAAATTTGGATATACTTATGCCAAAATTTAATTCATTTCATAAATACGAATCTCATTTTTATTGGTAACAAATTTGGAGATTCTTGTGCCAAAAAATTGAAATTTTGAATTGAGATATCCCAACAACTACGAACTTTTTTTCCATTCAAATTAATGTTTCAAATCAAACAAAAAATTGTTCCGAGAATAATGGATGTTGTATTAAATATTGATAAACTCCAATCCTCTATAAATTATTAATATTTGTGCATTTTGTGTGTAAATATATTGTTTTTTTTTTCTAAATAATACTAAATTACCTTATTTTAGGACCTAAATCCTAACTTCTTTTCTATTTTTTGGTGGTTTATATTCTTTAATTGAAATAATATTTGACTTATTTGATTAAAACAACTTATTTTCTTTAGGAAATAAATTTAAGTGAGATATCCCAAAAAAATTTAAGATTCTTAAGGTAACAAATTTGGAGATTCTTATGCCAAAATTTAATTCATTTCATAAATACGAATCTCATTTTTATAGGTAACAAATTTGGAGATTTTTATGGCAAAAATTAAAATTTTGAATTGAGATATCCCAACAATTATGAATTTTTTTTTTTCCATTCAAATTAATGTTGTAAATCAAACAACAAATTGTTCCGAGAATAATGGATATTATACTAAATATTGATAAACTCCAATCCTCCATAAATTATTTATATTTATGAATTTTGTGTGTAAATATATTGATTTGGTTTTCTTAGATAATAATAACTTACATTATTTTATGACCTAAATCCTAACATCTTCTCTATTTTTTGGTGGTTTATATTCTTTAATTGAAATAATATATGAATTATCTATATATATCTAAAAAGGTTGATGTAAAAATCATTTTTAGAAACTTAAAATAAATTGAGTTGACTTTTGACTTTCTATTTATGTAATCTCAATCAAATTTTGAAAAAAAAAAAATCGTGAATAGGATTATGTAATTGGTATTCCCATTAATTAAGTATCAGATCCCATTAATTAAGCAAATCTGTTACGAAAATACACAAATTCCGTTAATTAAGGCATTATATATTTCCTTTTTTTTAGGGATGGATATACCTTTAACGTGATAAGATATATATACATGTGATTGCATATTTTGTTGTTGCATCCCAAAAATCATGGTATTTAAAATGTATCCAAATACAATCCATAATTATCTTATTACTTTTGTTAATAAAAAATTGTATAAAAGGATATTCACTACCACCATTACAACTCATCATTCACGAGTTCAGTGAAAAAAAAATATAGAGAATAATTTTTCATCGCATATACAATATAATGCTTCCAGGCTGGGGTACACTTGATATATAATGCTTCCAGATTGGGGTACGTTAACAAAAGAAACAAACCTTTTTTTTGCAACAAACCTTTTTTTGCGTCTGAGAGCAGTCCGCATTATTGAAACCCATCACGAACGGGAGAGCTATAACGCATTTTCATGATGAACAGGTAATATTTGCCTTCGTTATTTTAATTTTATATAATTTAGAAAATTATTTTAATTAATATTTATAACAAACCTTTTTTGCGTCTGAGAGCAGTCCGCATTATTGAAACCCATCACGAACGGGAGAGAGCAGTCCGCATTATTGAAACCCATCACGAACGAGAGAGTTGTAACGCATTTTCATGATGAACAGGTAATATTTACCTTTGTTATTTCAATTTTATATAATTTAGAAAATTATTTTAATTAATATTTATAACAAACTTTTTTTGCATATGAGAGCAGTCCGCATTATTGAAACTCATCACGAGCAGGCTGGGGTACACCTGATATATAATGCTTCCAGACTGGGGTACGTTAACAAAAGAAACAAACATTTTTTTGCGTCTGAGAGCAGTCCACATTATTGAAACCCGAACGGGAGAGCTATAACGCATTTTCATGATGAACAGGTAATATTTACCTTTGTTATTTCAATTTTATATAATTTAGAAATTATTTTAATTAATATTTATAACAAACCTTTTTTGCGTCTGATAGCAGTCCGCATTATTGAAACCCATCACGAACGGGAGAGAGCAGTCCGCATTATTGAAACCCATAACGAACGGGAGAGCTGTAACGCATTTTCATGATGAACAGGTAATATTTACCTTTGTTATTTCAATTTTATATAATTTAGAAAATTATTTTAATTAATATTTATAACAAACCTTTTTTGCGTCTGAGAGCAGTCCGCATTATTGAAACCCATCACGAACGGGAGAGCTGTAACGCATTTTCATGATGAACAGGTAATATTTACCTTTGTTATTTCAATTTTATATAATTTAGAAAATTATTTTAATTAATATTTATAACAAACCTTTTTTGCGTCTGAGAGCAGTCCGCATTATTGAAACCCATCACGAACGGGAGAGCTGTAACGCATTTTCATGATGAACAGGTAATATTTACCTTTGTTATTTCAATTTTATATAATTTAGAAAATTATTTTAATTAATATTTATAACAAACCTTTTTTGCGTCTGAGAGCAGTCCGCATTATTGAAACCCATCACGAACGGGAGAGCTGTAACGCATTTTCATGATGAACAGGTAATATTTACCTTTGTTATTTCAATTTTATATAATTTAGAAAATTATTTTAATTAATATTTATAACAAACCTTTTTTGCGTCTGAGAGCAGTCCG